TGCAAGCTCCTCCTCTCGGGTTCACGCCATTCTCCTGCCTCAGCCTCCCGAGTAGCTGGGACTACAGGCACCCGCCACTTCGCCCGGCTAGTTTTTTTTTTTGTATTTTTTAGTAGAGACGGGGTTTCACCGTATTAGCCAGGATGGTCTCGATCTCCTGACCTCATGATCCGCCCGTCTCGGCCTCCCAAAGTGCTGGGATTACAGGCTTGAGCCACCGCGCCCGGCCCTAAACCAGTGGTTTTCAAAGTAGGTTTCACATATCCCAGGGGTGTGAAAAAAAAAATTAATGCTCTGATATGTTGTTACTTCATCTTAGTATTGCTAAATACTATAAAGCATAGAACATATTAGAAGATGGTATGGTTGTAAAAGTGCTTATATTAAGGGTGTGTGCAGTACTTTTTATTGATAACTGGTGCAAGATAAAAAAAGGTGTGGCAATCCCTGCTAGAGTCTTAAGTGTTTCTCTAAGTGTGGAGAATTACTTACATAAACAATGTAGATGCCAGGGCCCCACTCAATACCTACTAAGTCTGAATCGCTAGAGGTAGGTCCAGAAATCTGCCTTTTAAACAAGCACACCACATGCCTCAGGGGCACACTGAAGTTTGAGAATGTGTGCTTTCAATTCTTAGAAATAGGAGTGATCCCCATTTCACAGATAAGAAAAGTGAGTCTCAGAAACTTTAAGAAACTTAAAGTCAAAAGGTCACACAGCGAGCAAGAGGCACAGCCAGATTTCACGCCAGGTTTGTTAGGATTACAGAGGCCCATGTGTGGGAAGTACCAGGCACGTGCCACATGGGCAGGGCCTCTGAAGACCTGGAGGTCATGACGCATGGCTGCCAGTGTTACTGAAGAGTCAACCCTGGGTGCACCTTTTTCCCCCCATCACCAGGAGCCAAGAGAACAGTGAGATCTGGGTGTCATTACACAAATATACACCCTTTTTTTCCTTTTCCTCCAGGATTTTAAATATTGAGTTCAAAATGACTAAAAAATGAAGTCGGCCAAGCTCTCCATTGCTTGGCCCCAAACATTGGTTTTCTTAAAGTTTTTGTCTCAATTTGGGATTACTGTGCTTAGGGTAACGTGGACTCATTCTAGAGACCAAACCTTCGGCAGCTGTCCAAATTCTACTCTGTCCACTCTTCCACAGACCACCACAAGCCTCATTATTCAAATAGAGCAGGGTAGACTGAGAGTGAAGGGCCTGAATAATAATACAATTCCTAACCTCTCAAATTCCTATGGATTTGGGCTCCCACATCCTTTATTACACCATGTATACCTTTATTACACCACGTCATGCAGCACAGTCCTGGCTAGCTGCATGATGTCTCCCCAGCCAGACCGGGAAAAGATTTTATTCTTTCAATCAACAAATATGTATTAAGTTCCCCCCTTGTGCTGTACACTAACTTAGATCTCAGGCCAAAGGCATTTGTTTAGTACAGTTATTTCCGTTGAAAAAAATTGCTAATAGTTGACTCCAAGTGACTAAATGTGCAGGTAAGCATCATCTACGATCAACATATTGACTTGCATAAAAAGTTTCTTAAAGTGGCTGGGAGTGCTTCAGAAGTTAGCAGACCACTTAGGTGTGTTTTCTATCACCTGATACATACAAGAAACTTACAAAATTATACATAAATGAACAACTTATTGTTCTATTAGTTAACGGGGAAAGAATTTATCATGAAAAACAGATGTCAGCTTGTCTGTGTTTGTCACCAACTCCATGAGGTTTAATCTAGAGAAAAAAAAATGAAACAAACCCAGAAAGCAACAATTTCTACATTTTCATCATAAAGACTGGTTGTGTGAAAAGCAGTGCCCTTGATGAAGAGTCAAGTCCAAGTCCAGGAAAGGAGGCTACATCCTGTGCTGCAGTAGTGACTGTGCTCTGTCTGCTGCATGGTTGCACACAGATGACCACACCGGGGAAGTCAGGAGATCTTTGCGCTCGTACTTGCATCTGGTGTCTCATTCATTCTTTCTAAGGCCTCCTGCTTGGAGGTACGGATGGGAGAGGTAGGAAGAGAAGAGAATCAGAGAGACAGAGCGGGGCAGAGGGAGGAAAATGACGAATGGCCAGCACTTACTGAGCATAGACAATTGGGCATGTGCTGTGTAAGAAACCTAAAATTCTCTTCATTCTTTTGGGTATCTGGTTTTTCCAGTTATAACTATTCACTACATCAGCTTTGGCAACGAGGGGAAAAAAATTTAATTTCATATTTATATGATAGTTCATTTTCCCCCAGTAAAAAGTTACATCTAACTTCTTAGCTCAAGAAACCTATGTGTAATATGTACCTAAAATAATCTTAAATCAAAATCAGGATTTAACACGGTAAATATGCATGTGATGCAATTGCTTAAGGTTCACGGAGAACTGTGAAGTCCGCCCCAATCACAGCTAGTGCCTTCCTATCAGAGTGCATTGTGCCTTCAAATTGTCCACAATGTTTGAAAAGGTTGCCTATTTTCAACATCACTTTTCTGACAAGAGGTGGCACTAAGCTGCAGCAAGAAGACACTACACACATAAGCGTGCTCAGACAGCTCGCTGTGAGACAACCTGGTAGATAAGGCTTAAAGCTGGAATTACTTTTCAGCCTAAAGATTTTTTACTTTCCTCTGATTTCCTTTGGGGGAGCCTGGATATTGGAGTAAAGATGAAAGGGGCCAGAATTACTTTTAAATAACTCTTGAAAGTATTGGCCATCTGTCGACCTTTTTGAAGAAGTTATTCATAAAAGAGAATCTTTAAAACTAGAGAGCTGTCAGTTATGGTGAACTCTGCAGCTGTTCTAAGATGTAAAATTATATATATATGTAAATGCAAAAGTGTGTGTCTGGGTAAGAGAAAGAGACTTGTCTGCCCTAATACCTTACCCTACCCGTTCCTTGTCTGAATTTCTTCTTTCGTCAGGTTTGGAGATATCAATGGGAAGTTGGAGCAGCAGTAGCTGTCCAGTCCTCCTTCCCCTGGACCAAAGGTGGAGGCCCCTTTGGTACCACACTGAATGTACACACAATCTTCTAATCTTTTGAGACCAGCTGTATCCCAGGTGTTTGGGTTTTGAGGCCTCCTGTGGCAGAGACTGTAAACCGACTGCCTTGAAACGCACTGTCCATTTCCCCCTCTCAGTCACTGCATTCTGAGTTTATTTTGCAAAGCCATGCACACCACTAGAAAGACAACTTTCCTAGTCTCTTTTGCAGCTAGATGTGGCCAAGTGACCAGGTTTTGACCAAAGGGAGTATATGTGGAAGGGATGAATTATACTTCTGTGAGGTCCTTAATAGAGTGGGAGTGGGGTTTTTGACCTATTCTTTTCCAACGTGGAATGTAAATGTAATGACTGAAGCCACAGCAGTCATTTTGGACTACAAAGTGACGTTGAGAAGGAAACCAAAATGACTGAAGAAGCATGGGTCATTCATACGCCGGTCATTGACACGTGGGCCATTGATACGTGGGTCACTGATACACGGGTCCGTGATACCCTGTATCTGCCACCCTGGATCACTAACTCCAGACTTCTCTTACATAGGAGGTAAATAAACCTCTATTTGTATAAAACACTCATCCCATACAACCGAACATAATCCCAACTGATACACTTAGGAAGTCACTGAAGGAATAAGCATTCTGAAATATTAAGTATTTGGTGTACTAAATACAAAAGGAGACATACCTCTAATGCAATTAACAATGCCAAGAGTTTATCTTTTGAAGGACTCTGAGTGACCCTGTATATAGAGGTCACTTGCGATGGCTTGTCATTACAATACCAAACAAACCCAGGGTAACATATGTTCATTAAGCATTTGTAAGGGTGCCATCCTTAAAGGTGCTGGAAGGCTCAGAAATCATGTTTTATACTAAATAATTATCAAAATCAAATAATGACATTATATACACCTCCCAGTATTAGAGTTTTCAGTTGTGAGGATGTAAAAATGTTTTTTAAAGGAATTGTTTTCAACCGGTAAGACATCATTTTTGAGTGCCTAGTGTCCCAGGCACTGGGCTAAACACATCATTTCATTTAATCTTTACAAGCACATACTCTTATTATTCTCACTTCACAGATGGGTAAAGAGAAGGGATACATAACTTGCCCAAAGTCGCATGGCAAAGCTGGAAATCAAACGAAGTTCAATTTCAATTCTGTGTTACAAAACACCAAACTAAAGCATCTTCCATGTTTATTTTTTTTCTAAATAGTTTTGAGCATGCTTAATGCCTTTAAATTCTCCATTGAGTTATGTTAGAATGGTTAACCTTGTTTCAATGAATTAGAAGGCTGAAATCCAGAGAGGGCTTAATTCATCTTTGTGATAAGATCAGGACACTTAGTTATGGCATCAAGTTTAACTTGAGAGAGAGAAAGCCAAAGTCATGGCTCTGCAAACCAACTTGGTCCCTTCCTTGAGTATAATTTTGTAGTCTAGCTCTTTTTTTTTTTCCATAGAGATGGGGTCTCGCTAAATTACCTAGGTTGGTCTTGAATTCCTGGCCTTGGCAGTCCTCTCACGTCAGTCTTCCAAAGTGCTGAGATTACAGACATGAGCCACTGTGCTTAGCTTAGCTCTTTTTTTTTTTTTGAGATGGGATCTCGTACTGCCGCCCAGGCTGGAGTGCAGTGGCGCGATCTTGGCTCACTGCAACCTCCACCTCCTGGGTTCAAGCAATTCTCCTTGCCTCAGCCTCCCAAGTAGCTGGGATTACAGGCGCCCGCCACCTCGCGCGGCTGGTTTTTTGTATTTTTTAGTAGAGACGCGGTTTCACTATGTTGGCCAGGCTGGTCTCAAACTCCTGACCTCATGATCCACCCGCCTCGGCCTCCCAAAGTGCTGGGATTATAGGCGTGAGCCACCGCGCCCGGCCATCTAGATTAGCTCTTTACATTGAAAGTAATATCTAGGGTCACTGATATTCTGAGAAAATTAGAACCACCTTTGAGTTAAGACAGAAAGACACATACGTTGTTATATTTTAATTAGAGTCAGACATTTAATGGCATAAAAACATTGCATATATGGCTTTGCTGTTCTGAAAGTCATGAACTTAAAACCCAAATATGACACAAGCAGTTTTAAGACTATTTTGGCCAGCCTCCCCAGTCCCAAAGGAGATTTAAAAGTAATAATGCAAAAAAGTTAAGGTCAAGGTGTTTTAAAATCACATCTCAGCTAATGACTAACCTTTTGTTTCCTGAGGACTTCTGCTCTACTGTGAAAACTGCTGAGCTTAACCCGCTGTTGAACAACTGGTTAGTTCTTAGTTCCCTGGGTGAATTGTCCCTGAAGTTAAGCCATGCTCTGGGGACACATGAGGCACTTTAATTGGGGTAGTTACTTTTTCCAGGTTGGGTACAATGTTTGGCTCTCAAAAGCAAGGTAAACAGTTTACAGTCAAAAGGAATCCTCTGTGATTGTGTGCCTTTGGGATCAAGGGTTGAGATCTTAGAGTATTCTCATAAACATCTGTACCAGGTGCTCAAAGATGTTTGAGGGTTGTCAAGCAAGCTGTTCAATTTCTGCACTTTCTGTGGATATGGGCACAATGACCAACTCAGATTTTTCTCCTAGTGTCCTGAATGACAGCTCATCGACACAGAGTGAAACTCCAGATATATGACAAGCAGCATGGGACAGATGCTGACAATCAGAACAGATGCTGGATGTAAACAACTGGTCAGGCTGCACTGGTGCATGCTGGGAGAATCACCTGCTCTGCATCCAGGGAGCAAATGCATCTGCATGCTCAGCACGACACCAGCTTACCTCCCTGTGCAAATCCCCTCCCCTAATCAGCCTCATCCAAATCTTCTCCTGCAGTAGCAGCTTCTAAAGCCGCAAGGGCCTCCGCCACCGCTGCATCCTCGTCCACAATCTCCCCATCTCCGTCTCCATTGGAGCCATGGGCATCCTCCTGCCTGTTTCCTGAGTCAACCACAGGCGTGGCATGAGCAGGACCCTTCTCATTAAAGCAGATGCTTAGAACTTCTGTTTCCACATCCTCATTCAATGAATCCCAGCTTCTCCTCCCAGAGAAGGGCGTATTCAAACCACGCTCCCCCACTGTGGGCTGAATTCCCTCAAGGGACTCATCCTCAGTATGGTTCTTGAAAACACGGTCCTTTTCATTATGGTCAATGTTGTCTCCAGCTGGACCCCAATGCTGAAGGTAATCTGGGGCTGGTATCTGGAAGACACGGTCTTGTACTTCTAAGGCAAAACTTTCTGCCTCAGAAGGAGCTCTGGAGTCTCCATTTCTCATGACTTGGGTTCCTTCTGAGGCCAGCAGCACACAGTCCTGTTTCCTGGTGTCCCCTCCTTCCAGGAAGGGTTGAGTTGGGGGAACTCCAGTATTTTCAGTACTGGTCCAGGAGCCCCTGTCATCCTGGGCAGGGCTGGGATTCCCAGCGGGCTGTGGAGCGGCAGCAGGGCCGATGCCATTGATGCCGCAGGCATGGTGTTCCCCTCCAACATCCCCCTGCGGGAGCGGCCCTTGGTGAGGCCAGCAGGGCTCCCGTGGGTTAGCTGTCCTGCTGCTGCTCTCAGTCTTTTTTGAGCCCTGCCTCTGAGAGTCATTTTTCTGCACCAGGACTTCACTGTTCCATTTGCCTTTTAATTTATCAGTGTCGTCTTCATCTAGCTTGCAGCTGTTGACTTCATTGACATAGCCAGGAGAGGACACTTGAACTGGATCAAAGAGATAGCTGCAGGGAGGACAACGAAAAACCAGTCAGGTCTGCTCCATCATTAAAGATTTTTACCACAGGCCCTGCTTCTTTCTACGAAACCTGCTAATTTAATTTCTGTCATTACTCTTTTCAACCTAGATAAGTGTGTCTAAATCAAATAGATATAGTTGGTATAAAAATGTTCGGTGGCTCACACCTGTAATCTCAGCAATTTGGGTGGCCAAGGCGGGTGGATCACTGGAGGTCAGGAGTTCGAGACCAGCCCGACTGACATGGTGAAACCCCATCTTTACTAAAAGTACAAAAGTTAGCTGGGTGTGGTGGTGGGCACCTGTAATCCCAGCTACTCGGGAGGCTGAGGTAGGAGAATCGCTTGAACCTGGGAGGCAGAGGCTGCAGTGAGCTGAGATCACGCCCCTGCATTCCAGCCTGGATGACAGAGCAGGGCAGTCTTGAAAAACAAAAACCAGGTTCTGCCGGAAATACATCTTAAGAAGAGAGCCAAAAGGAGGAAGGAGGGTTAGGGGGTAAAGTAAAATACAAAGTGGTTCATAGAATTTTAAAACAAAAAACAATAAATAAAACAAGTGTCCACTAATAGGGCCATAAGGAGTATACCCTCTCAGTGGAATATTATGCAGTCATTAAAATGATAAATATGAAGTCTGCAGTCACAGGAATGATACTTACAATACATATTTTTTGAATAAAGCCAAACATCACATTATGATTACAGTGGAATAAAGCTTATTTATGTATGGGTCTAGAATAGAGCTACAATTAAAAAGACAGTATATTTGTTAAGAAAGCAAGATCATCAGTTACTTTTCTTCCCTTTATCTTAGTTAGAAGTTTATGTTCATGTTACTCACAGTTTTATGAAATGCAGTGTGGACAAAATTAAAAGCACATATGTGATTGGGGTGATTTATTTTCAGCGATGCCATTTCAGGCATCCTCAGAAACCCAGACCAAATTCAGCCTCAGAAAATGATGGTGTTCCCAACATGCTTTGAGAAGTGAGCAAAAAAAGTTAAGAAAATCTAGGGCACATGTTCTTTTCAATGATATGATAACAGTTCCAAACTCTTAATGTGCTGGCAATGTCGATCATGCCCCAAGCTGGATAAATGCTCTGAATACATGCATGGTCTTTAAAAGTGACTCCACGCTCATCACAAATTCCTCCATTTAGAAGTAGTATTTCTCCAGCTTTACCTTTGTATTATTTTACAGCACCTGCACCCCATCTGGATTGTTTTCTGTTACCACCTGGAAAAGAAAGCGTAAAAGGTAGAGAAGACAGTGAGTGATCTCTTAGTAGGAATTAAGTTTGCTTTTTTTTTTTTTTCCTAGAGACTCAAAGTGTATTAATAGTCACACACTTTGGCAAAAGGGTAACTACCACATGGGTCAGAGAGGGCGCTGGTAACCAGGAACACCCCATTTCCATCACTGCTTCAGCGTTCTCAGACGTTCACTGACACTTGCCTCTGTGTCAGACCTTTCTCCCAACCCTGGGGTTCTGTGTTTCATCCCCATTTTACAGATGAGAAGGTGGAAGGATGCTAGACAGAGAAGGGACTTCTGCCATTTCCTAATCTGTTACCTTCTACAGAGGACACAGGAACCTCACCAGGGCACAGCCCACTGTGCAGCAGCAGCAGGAGCGGGAGGAGATTCTGAGCGGGCTCCTTGCCAGGGCATTTGCTCCTCAAGGGTTAAAGGATGCTGGAATAAGCTGGCGGATCTATTGTGTCCCATGATTCAGACACTGAGGAGCGTGACAGCCTGAATCATTGCACAAGCTTCAACCACACTAAATTTATCCTGTGTTGCTTTTCCCGCCGCTGGGTCAATCTCAACATCTCAACTCTGATTCGTGGACCTGTTCTTTTTAGCTCAAAGATATGCCCCCTTAGGCTTCCCGGCAGAAGGTGGAATTCATTTCCCACCTGCCCACTGTTCCCTGGCCCCTCCCCAAGCTGGGCTTTTCCCGATCATTTCCTTTGGAACAAAATCTTCTCTTCATATAAGACTGACCATGTTCGCCTCTTCCTTCCTCAGAATATCCTAAAAGTGAGTATGGAAGCATCTCTAAGTTACTTCTCATTTCTAAAGTCTACAGCTTTTATTGTTATTATTTTTTTGAGACACAGTCTCACTCTGTCGCCTAAGCTGGAGTGCAGTGGCGCAATCTCGGCTCGCTGCAACCTCCGCCTCCCAGGTTCAGGCGATTCTCCTGCCTCGGCCTCCCAAGTAGCTGGGTTTACAGGTGGGTGCCACCACGCCTGGCTAATCTTTGTATTTTTAGTAGAGACAGGGTTTTGCCATGTTGGCCATGCTGGTCTCAAATTCCTGATCTCAAGTGATCTGGCTGTCTTGGCCTCCCAAAGGTTTGGGATTACAGGCATGAGCCACTGTGCCGGGCCTACAGCCTTTAAAAAGACAAGCCAAAACAGAATCTGCATCCCCAGTCCCCTGTCTCCATGAAACACAGGCACCAGAAAGAGAGATCATTCACTGCTGGCTGTGTCTCTGTCTCCCCTGTTGTCCCTCTTTCCTTCTTTCAATCATGGATGAATTTCCAGGGATGCTGCTCCATAAGCTTTTGCCCACAGTGAACATGATTGGTGCTTTTTAAGAAGTATAGATGGCTTGGTCAGTTAAAAGGGACTAGATTTACATTAAAAAAATAAAATCCACAAATAACTCCCTATGGTAGGCTGGAAAATGGCCTCCAAATATCCACATCCTAATTCCTGGAACCTGTAAATAATACCTCATATGTCACCTGAGTCCGCAAATTAAAGGTATTTGCAGATGTGATGAAGTGTAGGATTTTGAGATGGTATAATCTGCCTAGTTTATCTGTGGACTCTAAATACAATTAAATAAATGCTTATGAGAAGGAGGTGCAGGGACATTTGATTATAGACAGAAGAGGAAGAGGAAGAGGCAATGTGATCAAAAAGGCAGAGATCGGAGCAAGGAGGTCACAAATCAAGGAGCACTGGCAGCCCCCCAAGTTGGAAGAGGCAAGGAACAGATTTACCCTTGGAGCCTCTGGAAAGAGTGTGGCCCTGGTGACACCTTGATCCCTGATACCCACCCCTGGATCAAGCCCACTGATACCAATTTCAGACTTCTGGTCTCTAGAACCGGGAGAGAATATGCTTCCATTGTTTTGTTTTGTTTTGTTTGTTTTTTTGAGACAGAGTCTCACTCTGTCACCCAGGCTGGAGTGCAATAGCATGATCTCGGCTCGCTGCAACCTCTGCCTCCTGGGTTCAAGTGATTCTCCTGCCTCAGCCTCCCGAGTAGCTGGGATTGCAGGTACCTGCCACCATGCCCAGCTAATTTTTGTATTTTTAGTAGAGATGGGGTTTCACCATGTTGGCCAGGCTGGTCTTGAACTCCTGACCTCAGGTGATCCACCGACCTCGGCCTCCTAAAGTATTGGGATCACAGGCATGAGCCATCGCACCCGGCCGCTTCCATTGTTTTAAACCCCTCAGTTTGTAGTAATTTGCTGCAGCAGCACAGAAAACTAGTAACATCCCCAAATCACTTCATGCTTGAGGACCAAACCCCCCTTGTCCTTCCAATTCTTCCTGGGAGGACTCATGGAATGCGGAAGAGTCCCTCGGGCCAGCCCTGCATCTCTTGCCACCCTTTCTTTCCTTACTGTGCTTCAGTTTTCTTCCTAGCATGTGTCACCACTGGACATTCTGTCGTAGGTTTGTTTGTGACCCACCTTTTCCACCCTTCTTCAAGCCTAATCCTCAGCACTTAGGATAGCACCTGGCACACAGCAGGCAGTCAATACATGTGGAATGAATGAACGATTTAATGGCTATAGATTAAAAATGAGAGCACTATCAGTGAACCTGTTGTGTGTCTGCAACCAATCAAGACATTTCCAGTTTGTGCCAGCCACGTCACCCAGGTGTCACGAGGGTGGGCTCAGGAGACAGAAAACCCTGCTACTATGGGACTTTGGGCCTCAGTCACTTGATCTGTAAATGGGAGTAGAAATAATAATATTTCTACTATGTGGTGTTGTTGGGGATCATATGAGCAAACATTCATAATAAACATAGACCAGGGGTGTCTCACCCACCCCTGTTTGGATACAGCATATTAAAACACCCCCCACCCCCATCAAAAGAAAAAGATGGAGGTCTAGTATCCAAGAAAGATGTAATCTAGTTGCCAGAACCTATGGATACAAACAAGAGTATTAACAATGTCAAGTAGGACTTGGTTCTGGAATAAGGGCTAAATGGCATATTTCTATCAGCTGTGACAACAGTTGAAACAACAGTCCCATAGAGAGAAAAATCACTTTCTCTATGGACTGTGTACACATGTGTAACATTGTACCTTTCAGAATACTCTTAAATTACCCCATTTCAAAAGCCCAGGATTTTGTCCCCAGCCTCTACTCTTCCTTTACCTTCCTTTTCTGCTAATAATTCATAGATGAGCTGGATAAATAGGACAGGCGAGAAGCAGCACATGCACCTCCTCCCCTCTCTCCACACCTCTCCTCTCCCCTCCCCTCCCTCCACACCTCTCCTCTCCCCTCACCTCCATCCACACCTCTCCTCTCCCCTCCCCTCCCTCCACACCTCTCCTCTCCCCTCCCCTCCCTCCACTCCTCTCCTCTCCCCTCCTCTCCCTCCACTCCTCTCCTCTCCCCTCCTCTCCCTCAACACCTCTCCTCTCCCCTCCCCTCCTGACCCTCCCCCTCCACAATTCACTCTGAAATCTTGACCCTTTTCATGCCTGCAATAGTTTGTTTATCTTGGACTCCTTAAAAGTAAACAAACCAACAAACAATGACAACTGGTCAGGAGGATAGGTAGTAAAAACAAACAAACAAAAAGGTCAAAGAAAAGGAGAAAAGAGCTTAGAAGTGTTTGAGAAACAAGGAAGGCAGACTGGATTGTAATAATGTAACTGAAGCAATCATAAAACATTACTCATTGAAAAATCTCAGGTCAACTTTACGATGGTGAATTCGAAAGGTGTACAGGGGAAGGCAAAAGAAAGGAGGAAAGAAAAGAGGGAGGAAAGACGAAGGAAGGCAAGAAGGCGAGGAAAAACAGGCAGACACATCCAGAGTGACACCTTGCATTCCCAGCTCCTCAGAGGCTGATCAAGACTGACCCTGGGGCACCCTCCATCCCCGCCTTCTGTTGCTATAGCCAAGACCACAGGAGCAGGCTGCACCAAATGAAGTGACTGCGGAGATTTAACAGCCGCACTCGAAAACTGCCCCTTCCCTGCTTCTGAAGGAAACAGATATCATCTGTGGCTTTTAGACTCCCCTCCTTGCCCAGGAAAACCACAGGATCTATACTGTTCTTCCAAGCTGTGCAGTTACAAAGGATGTTGTGGTGGTTTTCCTCTTTCAGAATCAGGTTTCCAGTTTGGTTCCTCCCCCGCTTGCCTCCCATTAGGGCACCCCACATGGGTTTCCTATAGACCTGGTCCCATACCTGAGGGTCATGCTTCTGTGCCTCCCGGAGCTTGGCAGGGACAGCCTCTTCCTGGTTAGGGGTTCTGTCCTCTCTCACCTCGCCCTGAGTTTGCCTTCCCCAGCAACATTCCTTCTCTAGATCAGACGGATAGGCTCTAATGTCCAAGGTTGTGTGACTGCTGACGAAAAGGGTGGGGACTAATGTACTCACGCCCAACCCCTGCATGCCTGTGTCTACAATTATTCTTCCTTATATGATGTGTCATATAAAGTTTAATTCATTTCTTTTTTCATTTGTCACTCCCACTTCTACATCTTGCGTTTAGCAAGGACTTCTCCTAAGTCCAGGGGCAACAAGGAAATACTCCGGGTCTAGCATGCGATACCCAGCAATGAAAACAATATGCTCTTTTGATGTAAGATTGGGTTCAAAATGAGCAGTCTATTAGCTTTCTTCCTTGCCTCCCTTTTGGCAACAGCTAGCTTAAAGGTAAGAATTCAGTTGTTGGGTACCCTTTATTACAGAGCAAAATCAAAATTTGCTTTCTCTTTGGTGTACAAAAAAGCAACAGGCAACGAAGGGCAAATCCTTCACAACCGCTGCTGGGTTTACATAGGGGAAAAACAAACACCATTAGGATGGCTGTGTCCACCCATTGCTGCTGCTGCCTGCTCCTGCAGCCTTGTGTTGGGGGCTGACTCTGTTCTGTGTTTAAAGAAGGTCATGCTAATGCCGTGTCAGTCATTGGTGAAGCCTCCTTGCTGGGAGGGTAGCAATGGTGGT